GAAAAAAAAAAAAAAAAAAAAAAAAAAAGTAACAGGAAAAAAAACCTAAAAAATAAAATACTAAGATAAAGTTATGTCCAGAATTTTGGAAAACTGTACTGACAATAATGTAAACTGTTGACCCAAACATTAAAAAAAAAACTATCTAATCAGGTAATTCAATAATTTTTTTAGATAATATATTCCAATGAAATGAGTGCTCGGTTTTCATCATCCACTATTCTTTTTTTGGGGGGGAGGGTAAGGCCAGGGAGGCTGGATGGTATAGGGATCCTTGACCTTGGTGTTCTCAGCACCAGGCTCTCCCAACTGAGCTAACTGGCCATCCCACTCCACTATTCAAAATGGAAAATCTTTTCCGTAAAATGGTGCCTGATATGGAAGCATAATTACTTCTTTATATCATAATAAAGCCCTCTATTATTTGTAGTTCTTTTATTGTAACCTTGGAAGAAGTTAGGTGCATAACAATGCAAGAAATACCACTTTCGTTAGGGAGAAAAATTGATAAAATGGCAGTCACAGGACCTGAATGACTTCTATTCATAAATCTGCTGGTTAGGGAAGTGAGGGCCAGTATTCATTAGAATATTTGTCTTCCAGATAAAATGTCAAGTCATGGTTACAAAAGGAAAGATATATATATATTTTTTCCTTTTTGTCTTTTTTCGTGTCTGGCAACGGATCGCAACCCTCAGTGTCGCGCCCATACCGGACTGGGACCGGCAACGGGATCGCAACCCTCGGTGTTGCGGCCGCACCTCGCTCAGCCAGTGAGCGGGAACCGGTCTGTATGTGGGATCCGAACCCTCGGTGGGAGCGCCACTGCGCTCTCAAGCGGTGCACTGTAGCAGTGCGCCACCGGGCCGGCCCCAGGAAAGATATTTTTGATTCATATTATTGGCATTGCTTTTAGAGCACCTTTTCCTTCATTCTACTACAGACTCACTTAAGTGGGTCAGACATTGTGACTTGCTATAGTTTCCAGCTATGTTTATCAGCTGATACACCAATCACAGTATCCCACGACTTCAAATAAAAGAAAACTATTTTTGTGGGGAAGGTAGATTAAGACATAAACCTAACCATGAATTGGCTCAGAATATAATTAAAAAGAAAAGCCTGCAGTAAAAAATGAATAAGAATGAGAAAACAAAAGTGACTAATTTATTGAATTTTCTGGGCAAAAACAATTTAATAAAACACAAAGTAACCCAAGACATAGTTAGAAAAACTGAAATACTCGTGGGAACTGAAATTGAAAGACCAGTTAACACCACCTTAGCACAGAGCACAATTAACTTGTTTCTTTGATCTAGAAAATGGTTCGGCATGTGCTCACGTTGTGTGTTGGGGATACAAGGTGGGGTGGGGGAAGGGAGGGGAGGCCCAAATCTCAACATCATTTCTTGAGCCTAATTAACTAAATTCAAACTCAAAACTAAAATGCCTGAAGTTCAAGTGTGTTTTATAATTATGGGAAAACTGTATTTTAAAGCAAAACTACATTAGGATCAAAAATAAGGCCTTTCAGATCACAGAACTTTCTTACTGTCTATATTAGACTCATGAGAAAAACCAAGGGGAAGTGTGAGGAGAATAAAACCCTTAAACCGCTAGCATCAGCTTTTTGATAAAAAGTAACTAGAAATTACTTTAAATTTTACTAAGACCATTAATTAAAGTAAAACTATTACACTTCACTTTTAGAGAAAGCTCATTGTCTTCCAATCTAGTTATTATAAGCATCAAGAAAAAAACATAAATTGGTCCTTTTTTCTCTCCCTCAGTTTCTCTCTTTTTTTTTCTGTATCTTGTTTGGTTATTCTATTAAGTACATAAACTATGTGTGTTAATAGTTTACAATAACTTATTTACATATGTCATGTCAGCAGTTTCTATGGTCAGAAAATCATGTTAGGCCTTTGAGCTCAAACCTGCTAGGTGGACTTTGAAGATAACTATTATTTTAGTTGCTTATCAGTGCGGAATAATAGCTTTTCTTAAACACTGTTCATTTGGTGACTCAGTTATTTACTCTCAATTATGTGCAATTAATGACTGAACCTATTTCAAATGCAATGGCTTAATAGCCTCTGGCTTTAAGAGGTGTGTTGCTTTTATTTCCTTAATGAATTCTCTAAAGAATCTGTGTCTAGCTCAACCAGATGTGTCAAAGACTTAAGTAGAACTTTAGGGATTATAACTCTTCCTATACCAGAAGACTTAAATACTCCTAAGTTTTCTAGGATAAACAACCCCAGTTTTTTAAACTTTTCCTCACACTTTGTATTTTATGTTTTATGACTCTCAGATGAATTGTTTCCAAATTCTCCACATTCCTTTTTAGATTTTAGATGACGGGCCCAGTATGAAACATAGGACTCTAAGAAGGATCAGGAAAGTCCTTAGCATAGTAACAGCATTCTCTTGCAGCTCTACAATTCACACTCCTGTAACACAACCTAGTATTACTCTTACATATAAAGTTACGCTTCAGCAATCTCGGCTCCGACCTAGTTCACAGCGACAGGGCCAAACGCTCCAAGAAGGTCGGGATCATTAGTAAATACGGGACAAGCTATGGTGCCTCCCTGTGGAAAACGGTGAAGAGAACTGAAATCAGCCAGAACGCCTAGTAAACTTGTTCCTTGTGTAGCAAAACCAAGATGGAGAAACGAGCATTGGGGATCTGGCACTGTGGTTCCTGCATGAAAACAGTAGCTGCTGGTGCCTGGACCTAGGGCACCACTTCCGCTGTCACAGTAGAGTCTGCCATCAGAAGACTGAAGGAATTCAAAGACCAGCAAAAAAGCTCCACCATTTGCGACATCATCAGCCTATAATAAATGGGTTAATTTATATAACAAAATAAAATGAAATTGCACTCCAGGGGGCTGGTCGGTTTGCTCAGTTGGTTAGAGGGCGGTGTTGATAAAACTGAGGTCATGGGTTCAGATCCCCATACTGGCCAGTCGCCAAAAACAAACAAATAACACTTTAGGGGCTGGCCAGTTAGCCCAGTTGGTTAGAGCGTGATGTTGTAACACCATGGTCAGGGATTCGGATCTTCACACCAGCCAGCTGCCAAAAAATAAATAAATAAAATAAAATTACGCTTTGACATTATCAAATTTTAAAATCTGAACTCAACCTCCTTTTATTTCTCAAATTACATTTAAGGTGTTGTTCTGATTACCCTATTTAATTCCTCCTATTTTACTGAAACTGTATTTCTCCTGGGTAATTTTTAATTTCTTCATGTTTGCTAAGGCAAACAACATTGAAAGCAGACAGAGCACATCCTATGGGTACTAAAGACAGTCTACTACAGTTCAGAAAGAAAATATTGCAATATCTATTTGTTTTATCTAAAAAGTAAGAAAGAAATCAAGCCTCATTATTATTATTTTTTTTTTCCTTTTTGTCTTTTTCACTGACCGGTAATGGGATTGCAACCCTCGGTGCCACGCCCGTACCGGGGACTGGCAATGGAATCGCAACCCTCGGTGTTGCACCTGCACCGCGCTCAGCCAGTGAGCGGAACCGGTCTCCACATGGGATCCGAACCCTCGGCGGGAGTGCCGCCGTGCTCCCAAGCGGTGCACTCTCCAGTGCGCCACCAGGCCGGCCCTCAAGCCTCATTATTTAACACACATGTGGACAGTGGAATGCTCCTACAGTCCTTTGTCAGTCACATCTATGTGTACTGTGTGAAGTGACCTGAGAAGGATGGGCTTCCCACAACTTGGGAGGGTTTGATCTTTCATCCACAATCAAATGCAGTTTTGTGTAGTACAGGAGGCCATTGATGTGGTTAATTTTGTAAAAACAAATCCTTTCAATAGAATCTACACAGTATCTTACACTGAGATGGGAAATGTTGGTGAAAACTCTTCATCTTCGAGCAAAATATTCAAGGTACTGTTAAAAGCATAGGTCCTGGATACACACTATCTGGGTTCAGACCATAGTTCTGCCATCACCAGCCATGTAATCCTGGGAAAGTTATTTAGCATCTCTGAGTTTTGTTTACTTATCCATACAATGGAGGTAATAACAGTATCCACTGGATTGGGTTATTCTGAGAATGAAGTGAGCATATATGTGTGTGTTTGTTTGTGTGTATATACTTAGTATAATATCTGACACCAAAATAAGCATTACATAGCACTAGTTGTTATTACTTTAAAAAGTAGTTGACTACCAAGATGAATTACATACTTTCCTCTGACAAAAATACAAGCAATCCAGAGTTCCTTACCTGTTCTATGATGATACCTGTAGGTAGCATGCTACATAGTGGGTATTACACACACACACACACACACACATATATGCTTACGCTACAATTTTCATAATGAGCAAGACGGTAACTCTTTTCCCCTATGTGTTTGGAAAGAAGGACTCTGGAGATAGCATTTTGAAAATGTTTGGAGATATTTCCACCAGTATGTGACTTTTTTGCAGAAGAAAATGTGTGTCACTATTAAAATTCTAATCCATACTCTAAAATTTTAGAAACACAATTTTCTACTTGTTTAAAGATTTTCCAAATAATAAATTTCAGTGGGTTTTAAACTTATTTGTTGAAAAGGTAAAGTGCAATGCCTTCAAATTAGTTTGTTAGAATTACTGATTGATAGCAGAGGAAATGGAAATTTACTAGTCAAACTTCCACAAAAACCTTTACAGAAATGGTTGATGGGATTGAAAAAGAAAGTGAGTACTTGAATAAATATAGCCAACTACAACACGTTTTTTTCATTTACATCTAAATGTCTTTTTGAAATATCTTTTTCAGCTTAGACAGCTATTAAAATGAAGTATTAGAATAACTAAACTTAGAACTAAACCTTTGAAACACTGTATCACAAAGTGTTAGTGTTAAACAAAGATTTTTCAAAAAGTAATAAAGTACCAAGTAAAAAAGCATCAAGTGAAAGCAAAAAGGGTTTTATACTACTAATAATATACCAGTAAATTATTTAAAACACACTAGTTTATATCTTAAAATTTGGGGGTTACATTTCACAATACATACAGTAGATTAGTACAGGAGGCCACAAATGAGTACTTTATATGGGTGTGCATGCTGAATTATTTGTAAGGATGGAATGCATATTCAAAAAGCATAATGCTAGTTACTATCCACATCTCCATTCCTTGGTTTGGTGTCATCTAAGAAAGTAACGCCTTTTGTTTTCTTCTTCATTTAGTAACTACTTATTGAGTACCTAGTGTGTGTCAAGTACTGTGTTAGACTCAGAGAGGTACAAATTAGACATAAAACTACCACTCTCAAATAGTACTTTCTATCTTTTATGAAACATGTAATAAAGAACTATTCCCACAACCAAACTCAACTTGCTTCTCAGCTCCTTTCCCTGACTCGACTTGAAATAGCTAATAATCTTCTGTGGATTGGGATTTGAATTTGAATCTGGACATTTGAACACCCACTTAATTTTTAAGTAGTTTATATGCACCATTTATGACTTATTTTCTCTTCTAGAGATCTGCAAGCTGCTTTATGACAATGATGTAAATCTTGATATTACTGATCAAACATTCTTTCTGCAAAGCACTGTGTTAAGACAGAGGGAAGGTACGATGTATGAAGTTACACTGTTCTTTCAAAGAGATTTTATACATGACAGAACATGAGAAAACGAAAAATGACAAAAGCACCTTAATTTTTTACTCACGCTATGTGGATTGCTTCCACTTTTTAACGTGCTCCTCAGTATATTGCATTTCTAAGTATTGTATCATTTCTGCCTTGTGCTGTATTTCTTCAAGCCTGGTACCATATCATTTGAAAGTTAATTTTATCTGGCTACAACTACCTCTTTCAAATTTCATCTTATTACCTACAACTTCAAATGACTGGAATAAATTATGTTTTGTCACTACTTATTTGCACTGAAGAACACTCATCTGAAAAACAGGTAGAAAAAAAATACTGGAAACTAAGATCATAAAAATAAAAATTCTTTTTATGCCTAAAAAGGAATTCTCTACCTCTCCCTAAATAGCAATGAAAAGTGGTGATTTGAGATATTCAAGGCAAGAGACTGGACCACTTGACTTCCTGGGTCTTGTTTACTTTTAAACTCTGCCAAAGGACTTAGGTTGTAGGCCAGTTGTAGGTCAGACTTATAACCTACAGAACTACAAGATAATAAACTTGTGTTGTTTTAAGCCTCAGATTTGTTGTAATCTGTTACAGCAGCAAATAGAAAACAAATTAGATATAGATATAGATAGGCAGATATCAGGAGCCCTTTAAATGATGCAGGCAAGTGCAGGTGTATGGATAATTGTCTTTTTACTTTTTTTCCAGTTTTGGAAATCATACTAACTCACAAATATTTTCATTTTTGTTTTCTTTATATAACTGGTTACAAGAATTTGATTTACCACATTTTAGACTATTGGCTTACAAACAGCTTAGCCCATTATGGTTTCTTGATGATGGCAGCTGACAATTACCGAAAATAAATTTACTTAAGTAATATCTAGTTTGTTATTTTCTCATTTGTGTCTAGATACTGGAGAGTATCATACAAATAAGTTATAAGCTGACAACACCCGAGACTAACAGGAGTGTCCCTAAGACTGTCATCTTCCTGAGAGGTGAGGACAGGAGTTATCAAGGGAGAAAGGCCACACTCACTCAGTTCTTCCTGCCTCTCTGTCTGGGGCACATTATATACATATTGTCTTTAATCCTCATTGCCACCCCATCATTATCCTCATTTTGCAGATAAAGAAGTAGAAGTTCAAAGAGGTGAAATAATCTCACCTAGATCACACAGAAGGAAAGTGGCAGAGCTAAGTCCATTTGATTTGAAGCCCATGATCTCTCTAGTGCAGCACAGAGCACCTGATGTCAGTGGGTGGTGCTGGATAAAAGGCATCAGGACTAGGTACAGAAGAGTTTACAAATGCAAATACCTAAAGTACCTAGGAGGCACCACAGATACTGTCAGAAGAGGTGAAAGGTGAAAGTGAGATGATAAATGGTGACTGACAGTCTCAGTGAGTGGCAATAGGGTGTGGTGGGGACTGTGGAAAACACAACAGTTTATGCCTTCTCTAAAGGGAACAGCTGACAACAGTTACCAGCCAAGTGTTGCTATGTGGTGGCATAGGCCCAATGTTGCCAGATCTATTAAATTTTCAGTAAAAGCTAGAAGTATATATTTTTATGTGAAATAGCATAATTTCAAAATGCTAGGAAGTAATTCAGATTTTCTTAGAACACTGCAGGCCAAATAAACTGCATCTTCTAAGAAAACCTGCCAATTTGAGGCCACTAGTATAGACCATAGGAATCAGTACTTACCTAGAGAATGGTCCACATAAAAGAGAAGATGTGGAAAGATTGGACTAGCTTCTTTTTTCTTTCTTTTTTTTTGGCAGCTGGCCAGTACAGGGATCTGAACCCTTGACCTAGACCAGGCTCTAACCAACTGAGCTAACCAGCTAGCCCTGGGCTAGATTTTGACTGAGCTCCTTGAATGGAGAAGGTATCCTACTCCAAGGACGAGGGAGGCTCCTTCTAGGGCATTGAGGCACCTCAGAGAAGGGACTATGACTCAAGCTTGCCACAGAATCTTCTTAAAGAGACCTATCTAACCAATAATTAAAGCAACTCCAAACATATTAAGCCACATGTTATTTTTCCCTTTTCTGGTTGCTAATGCATAAGCACTTTCGGGCAGAGGTTTATTGAAAAATAGGCTTATCTGCTGTATTTCTATACGTAACAATTAGCAACCAGATTATATTATTTTAATAGAAAACAACTTCATAACATGAATCCAATTTTATGCAAAAAAGTTGACATATAATATCTACAGAGTAGGAATAAATAGTATAGGCTTTGAAAATATTCAAAATGGCACAATATCAAAAAAAAGACAACTACAGTTAAAACTTATACACATTTGAAGTAGAAAGTTCTGATTTGGGAAACACAGAAATAATTAGAGGAAACACTGAGGGATGAGTGATGTAGTAGACTGTGAGTTCTGTAGCAGGTATCACGTTCACTATCCTGATTTTTCTCACCATCGTGATTCTGCAACCCTAATATGGCCATGGAAGAGCCAGACAGCTGGCTTGAACCTGAGTTGGGAAGGCTCAAGAGAAGGACAATGGAGTAAAGGAAGAGAGCCCAAGTAGGGGTCATGCCACTCACACTTGCTAGCAAATGAGGAGGTGACAGGCAGAAAGGCAAGGCCAAGGGCAAGGGAGACTTGACTGAGGTTAACAAAAACTTATTATACACAATCACACTATAAATAATATTTAAAATTTTAAAGTACACTGCAAATTTCAAAGCATTTTAGAAAACAGACTATTTTTTTGAGCAGTTTTAGATTCACAGCAAAATTGGGAAGAAAGTACAGAGATTTCCCATATGCCCCCTCCCCAACACACATACAACCTCTCTCATTATCAACATCCACAGCAAAGTGGTACATCTTTTACAATTCATGAACCTACAATGACACATCATTACCACCCACAGTCCATAGTTTACACTCTTGGTGTTATACATTCTCTGGATTTTGACAAATGTATAATGACATGTATCCACCATTACAGTATCACACAGAAGTTTCACTGCCCTAAAGATCCTCTGTGCTCCCCCTACTCATCCCTCCCTCCCCCCAACCCCTGATCTTTTTACAGTCTCCATAGATTTGCCTTTTCCAGAATACAATAGAGTAGGAATCATACAGTATATAGCCTTTTCAGCGTGGCTTCTTTCACTTAGTAACATGAATTTAAGTCCCCTCCCTACATCTTTTTATGGCTTCACAGTTTATATATTTCTAGCGCTGAAAAATATTCCATTGTCTGGATGTGCCACAGTTTATCTGCTCACCTACTGTACGACATCTTGGTTGCTTCCAAGTTTGGGCAATTACGAATAAATCTATAAACGTCCAGGTGCAGGATTTTATGTAGACAAAGGATTTCTGCATTCACAGTCTGAATATAGATGCAAATTTTCTCAGTCAAATCATAACAATCCAAATATAGTGCACCAAATCAAAAGCATTTATCACTATGACCAGAAGAGTTTATCCTTTGAAAACACAATGAAACAACAAAAACTATAACATTACAATGTTAAGAAAAAAAACCTCTAAATTGATGATCTCAACAAATGTTTTGAGGAATTAACTCTGTATTTTGTTGTCTGCTACATCTTTTCTCTGCCCTACCTCCTTCCAACCTTTAACATAGTTAGCTTGATATAGTGGGTCGATGGACACTGTAGCCTGGTTATTGGTATCTGTTTCTGTTTGAATAATGGGGCTCTGATGCTTATGAACTGCATGACTTAAGGCAAGTTACTTAACATTGCTGGGCTTCTTCTTCCCTATGTGAAAAACAGGCATTTTTAGTAGTACCTACCTCATGGATCAAATGAGTTTATATCCATAAACTCTCAGAATAATGCCTGGCACGTAAATGTTTGTTAAATAAAATGACTAACATGTATGTGGATCTCTTGTGTGAATGCTGGTCTCCCAGAGCTGTACACAGTACTGATGATGTTGTCCCGTTGAGTCAGTCAGGTCTGCAATATGATTTTATCCTTAAAAGTTATCGAGTTAGCCTGTTTCATGGATGCCAAACTCACAAGACATCTGAGTCAGAGAAAAAGAACTTTATTATTCACAGCATAGCATGTTTCTCTGAGTTCCTCTTTTCCCACAGTTCCACAGGGGTGACATGAAAACCTTCAGAAAATGGGTTTGCATTGCACCTGGAGAATAATGAGCTTGGGGAACCCACTGCTTTTTTTTTTTTTTGTCTTTTTCATGACTGGTGCTCAGCCAGTGAGCGCACTGGCCATTCCTATGTAGGATCCGAACCCGCGGCGGGAGTGGCGCTGCGCTCCCAGCGCTGCACTCTCCCGAGTGCGCCACGGCCTCAGCCCAACCCACTGCTTTTATAGCAAGCAGCAAGCTTAGCCTGCTCTTTGTCCTAGAGGGAGGTGTTGCCTCATCCCTCAACACCGTCCACTGTAAACACAACCACGAGAAATGGTCTGGATAACGAGTGGTGCTGTAGAAAGCCTCTAAGATGGTCCTTACTGGTTCTTGCCTCCTGGTATTCAGTCCTTTGTGTAATCCCTGCAGTTGACTGTGGGCTAAACTTATTGACTCACTTCTAACTAACTGAATACTGAATACAGCCTATCACACAAGTGATAGGACGCTGCTTCAGAAATGAGGTTATGGGGGCCACCCCCACCCCGTGGCGCACTCGGGAGAGTGCGGCGCTGGGAGCGCAGCCACGCTTCTGCCGCGGGTTCGGATCCTATATAAGACTGGCCGGTGCGCTCACTGGCTGAGCGCGGTGCAGGCATCACCGAGCCAAGGGTTGCAATCCCCTTACCGGTCACGAAAAAGACAAAAAAAAAAAAAAAAAAAAAAAAAAAAAAAAAAAAGAAAGAAAGAAAAGAAAAGAAAAGAAATGAGGTTATGAAAAGACTGTGTCTTCTGTCTTGGACATCTTCTTGTGCTCTCTCACTCATTTTCTCTGCAGATGGCAAGGAACAGATGTCTCTAGCCAACAGTCAGCAGGGACCTGTGGCCCTTCAACAGCCATGTGAGTGATCTTAGAAGCAGATCATCTCCAAGCCTCGAGGTGATAGTAGCTCCAGCCCACACACTGACTGTAGCCTTGTGAGCCAGAGGCCCAGCTAAACTGCATCCAGATTCCTTACCCACAGAAAATGTCAGAAAATAAATGCTTGTTGTTTTAAGCCTCTGTGTTTTGGGATAATTTGTTATGCAGTTATAGATAAGTAATACAAGCAGTCAGAGTCTTGCATACTGAGCAAGACATGCAGGGACACAAGAGACCAGTAGATAACCATCTCCCAACAATAGGCTAAAGCTGTAATCCTCTAGGGGTAGGCAATGCCATCTTCCCAGAACAGGGCTGGCATGCATGGTGTCCCTCATCTAGGGAAGAGGCAGAAACTGAGACTGGAAACTGGAATTTAAAAGGAAGCCTTAAGCTGGAACTAGCCTTACCAATCTTGGGGCTAGTCTTTGAAGAGTTTAGCTTGCTTGAGGACATTATGCCGGGTAAGATAAAGTGCCTTCTGTTTTGTGCAAGTAGTGCAAAGTAAGATAAGAAGGAATTCTTTTACAGTGTCAAATGCTAATGCCTACAGTGCATTCAGTGAACCAGATTATCTAGTTGTATATTACTCCCTGTACTCATCTGGAGCCCATGTAAAGTTTTAAAATATTTCCCTGGTCTCATCTGTACCCCAGGAAATAAGTCGAATGACTGAGCCACATTATTAGAGGGGAAACAGTGCCCCCTGGAGGCCAAAGTGGCAATGCCCAGAGACCCCCAAGAGGCAGGAGAAGCTAAGGTAGGCAAGGGAGATGGCAGATTCCCTTGCAAGTGCTAAGAAAATATTTGATAAAACTGAAAATTTCTTTTTTATTTAAAGTCTTTAATAAATTGGTGTGGAAGTTTTTTCTTAACACTATAAAGGTTTTTTTTTTTTTTAATTTTCTAAAGAAGGAGTCAACTCTATACTTAACAGGGGGCCCGACAGTACAGTCAGTAAGAACACAGGCTTTGGAATATGACATGCCTTCCTTTTGTTAACTGTGTATATTCTTGGGCATGTTGATATTTCTGGCTAAGACTATTTCTCTATCTGTAAAATGAGGATATCTCACTGGACCATAGGGAGGATTAAATGAGATTATGTCATGTCTTTAGCACTTGGTAAGCACTCAGTATATGAGAGCTGCTATTATTATTTACTTCTACTACTACTACTACAACATTAATGAGACAAAGATGTTCCAGGTAACCACAAATACTTAATATACTATTATACATTCTGGTAATAGAATTTTCAGATAAGAAGAAATTTGGATAAGAAGATATAAATCAGAATAAATAGAGGAAGAAAGGAAGAATTAGTGAGCAAGAAAACCAAAGAATATTTGTAAAGGTATGGGGGAGAATAGAATCCTTATCCAATATAATATAGAGAGTTCTTACAAACACATAAATAACATCACTAGTCTATTAAATAAGTGGTCAAAGGAGATGAAAAAGCAGTTTAGCAAGTATGTTATCCGGTGGCCCACTTATTAGTTAATAAATGCAAAATAAAACAACTTTCAGGTCTTATACACCTTTTAAAGTTTCAAAATATAATGAAACATGAAAAGCATTGGTATTGGGGAAGACATAGAAAGAAGGCATTGACCTTGGAACATGACATACCTGACTCTGCCTCTTACCAGCTGCGAGAGTGAGGGTAAGTCACCTCCTGTCTATCTGCGCCTGTTTCCTTATCTGTACACGTAAGACAGTAACAGCATCTTAGAGACTTATTGTGAAGATTAAATGAGAAAATACACGGAGAGCTCAGAGCACAAAGCCCAGCTCTCAACAAAGGGTTTCATTATCCCTGTCATTATCCTCCTGGTTGTTGCTACTGATACGCTGAGGTTACTCCAGATAGCACCAGAAAGGGTGCTGGACCTTCAGGGGATTCTGCAGAGCAATATGTAACGAGCTATAAAGTTACATATAACCTTGAATCTTTTTTTCTACTTGTGGGAAGAAATTTAAAGGGAAAAAATGACCTAATTAAAGATGTTTCTAGCAATGCTAGTTATGAATGTCAAAATTTGGGAACAGGCTGACTGGTTAGGTCAGTTGGTTAGAGGGTGGTGTTGATAACACCAAGGTCAAGGGTTCTGATTCCTGTACCACACAGCCACCAAAAAAAAAGGGGGGCGGGAACAATTTTGCCCAGAAATAGAGGAGAGGCTAAGTAATCACTACAACTATAAAATACCTAGAAATAAAATTAATAAGAAATGTTCAAAATCCATTTAAAAAGCCAATTATCCCCATGTTGATTAAATGTAATTTTTACCAAAATCCCAATGGAAATATTTTAAATTTAAAAGATGATTCACTAGTTTATCTTGGAGATAAATGTTTGAAAATAGCCAAAAACATTTTGAAAAACAACTGTAACAAAATAAGATTTGTCCTACATGACATTAAAAAGAACTGTAAAACTATATAGTAAATAGTGCAGAGTGGTACTGATTAGGACAAGAAAAGTAGATCAATGGAGTGGAACAGGGTCCAGAAAATAACCCAGGTTCATACATACATGATTGCACACATGCTCAAGGTAGCATTTCAAATCATTGGGGGAAGATTAGATTTTTCAATAAACA